TCCTGGCTCTGCACCTGATAGCTGTTGACTTTGGATGAGTTGCTTGATCTGCCAAAGAGGGATGATAATCAACACACAAAGACAAGTGTAGGGGGTTGGAACATGCTGCCCCAGCCTACAGCACCTTGTATAATGATGACTGTGAGCTGAAGACCCTTGAAAAACAGACAGCCAGTGAAGCTCTCTGCTCTCCCCTCATCTGCCTGAAAGTAGGGCATCAGTTTCCCTTCATAAAGACGTCTCCTTCCCCTCCCTCTGACCAGGAAGGGCTGAAGGACACAACGGTAGACTCTTCAGCCCAAAGGTGACATGGAACAACCCTCACTAAAACCATCCCTGTCTTCCATCCACTCCCTCCGTATCTTTATCTTCCCACAGTTTTGCCCCTAAAAGTCTAACATCCTTTTCCTTTTCTAGTCGCTTCTCTACAGATTTCTTGTTCTTTGTCAACTGGCATACGCTCTCAGCCTAATGGCTTCTTTCTAGAAAGAAGGTTTTCGCCTCTCTCTAGAAAGCTCTCTGTGCCATGTAAAAATACTATTATCAAGGGAAATTTCTATGCCTTTTCTCCTGTTCATCTGTCTTTTGTCCATTTCATTTCCAGGGCCCCAGAAGCAGAAACTAAGAAGTAGAGAAAGGGTTTTTCTTCTGCTATGTCACAAGAGACAAACTTCTCACTGACAGCAAGGCTTGCCTGGGAGACAGTCAACCCTGATGCTGTGTTTCCTGACCAGGGATTCTAACCATCCAAGAGGGACAGGCAACCAGCAGCTCCAAGCTCTACCCCAGTGCACTGCACTCCCCCTCTCCCACTGAAGGCTCTTTCCTGGCCAACGAACACTGTGCTTTAACAAAGTATGAACTTACAGGTTCATTCTGCCCCACCCAAGCAGGACCACCACCTACCACAATTTCTTGCATATGAAACCCCCACTTCCTTCCCACCAGCATGCTCCATGTGTTTCCTCACTGTTGACCACTCCTTTGCCTGACCAGTAAAGACATCCAGAGTTCACTCTGATGGTCATGGTACTGGCCATTGTCTTGCCATCAGCAAGTGCTCAGCACAGAGCCTGGCACATGGTGAGTGAGTGTCCAGTGAACATTCACTGGTGCTGGTAGGACTCCTTGGTAGCTCTGTGCACATTGCTCTCCCTGGTTTTCTCTTATCTCACCTGAGGTTCTAACTCCCTTAGTGGGACAGAGTCATCAAAAACCCCAACTTCACCCAGGGATTGTCAGCAGGAAGATGCACTGTGGAAGCCAGCCCTTGACTGGGGAGCTGATGGGAGGAGGGACAGGGGCAGGGATGAAAGTTTCACCCAGGACCCACATGCTGACTCCTGGCCCTGACACACCAGGAAGAGAGGAGGGCCTCTGCAGGGTGACCCTGGCACTCTTGTTCTTTGACAGCAAGCACAGGAAAACTGTCCCCTGGAAAACACTTAATGTAACCCTCCCCCTGCAGACCTCATGAGGCATGAGGTGACTCAGGTGAATCACTCCCCAGGAGGCAGAGGTACTGGTACCTTGAGGCCATCCCTTTGTAAAGCGTCAGATCTCTTCCTGGGAATGCCTGGTCCCTAGAGGAGGGGAGCCCTGGCACATAGCCCGAGGACACAGACTGGAGAGGGGAGCCTTTCTGGGTCAAAAACCCAAACCCAGGCTAAGCTCCTTGGATTGCAGCACTTGTACCCGGTGCCTTGTGCTCTTGTCTCAGTTGGAAAACTAAAGGTAAGAGAGCTGGCTGGTGGGCCAAGTTCAGCCTGGGTGAGAAAGAAAATAAATCCTAGTTGGGAGGCATTCTTTCCACCCCATTCTCTTCCCTCCTGTCTCTCTATTCACTGGCCTGACCTTCCCAGGTTAAGAAGTCAGCTTCATAAATTTTCCTTGTATTAACCATGTTTTGTTTGTTTGTTGGTGTGTGTGTGTGTGTGTGTGTGTGTGTGTGTGTGTGTGTGTGTGTGTGTTCTGATGCTTTAACAGCTCTGGCCCTGCTGAACCAGAAGGGACTGTCCCTGCTGATGGTAGTCAATGCCTGGACAGCGATAGACAAGAGCCACCTGTAAGTGTATTGTCCAAATGCAAACAGGCTGACCCAGAGCCCACACCTCACACACCCCCTCTATGCATCTGTCCCCCTCTGGGTCACTACCCCCTGCCTTTGTCACCCAGGGTCAGGGACCAAACCACTAGAAACAGCACCTGTGTCCCACCACTGAAATCATTCAAACCACCCACCCCTGAGTTGTGTTCTCTGCCTCGTCTGTTCCTTCCATGGAGACCAGCTCTTCTGGCTCCCCCTGGTGTTTCCCATTCAGACTGCCAGCCACACACCAGGAGGAAGTCTGGGGCTTCTCACCCAGTTTCCAAACCTAAATTGGCTCATGAATCCAGAGCCCCTGGACTGAAGAGGAGACCAGGCCCCCTGGAGGAAGGCATCTGCATTTTCTCTCAAGTGTATGCTGCCCATCCTCCTCCAAGTCCTCCCTGAAGGGATCTGCCACCACTGCCCACAGTGACTCCCTGGACACCCGTCCACCTGTCTAAAGTTTTCTGGGGTTTTGTAATTTATTCTTGTCTTTAAAAAAATTTATTCGTTGTACTTGACAGACAATATTATATTAATTTCAGGCATACAACATAGTGATGACACATGTATATAGCATGTAAGGGATCACCCTGAGAAGTCAGCACCCGTCTGACACCATACAGTTATTGCCATATTGGTGACTGTATTCCCTGAGCTATTCTTTCCATCCCATGACTGGTTGTATAACCAGCAGTTTGTATATCTGAACCCTTCCGCCTTTTCACCCATGCCCCTAAACCCTTCCCATCTGGCAACCATCAAAATGTTCCCTGTTGCTATAAGTTTGTTTCTGTTTGGTTTAATCCCTTATTTTGATCTTAGATTTCACATACAAATGAAATCAAGTGATATTTGTCTTTCTTGCCTGACTTACTTCACTTAGCATAATACCTTCTAGGACTACCCATGTTGTCACAAAAGGCAAGATTTCCTTTTTTTGTTTGGCTGAGTAACAATATTCCATTGTGCACATGTACCACATCCTCTTTATCCTTTTCTCTCTCAGCGAACACTTAGGTCGCTTCCATACCTCTCCTATTGTTAATAATGCTACCGTGAACATAGGGGTGCATGTGTTGTTTGAATTAGTGTTTTTTTGGATTTCTTCAGATAAATACCCAAAAGTGAGTTTGCTGGGTCACATGGTAGATCACACTTAATTTTCTGAAGAACTTCCATAGTGTTTTCCCCAGTGGCTGCCCCAACTAAAAATTCCAACAGTGCATGGGGGTTCCCTTTTTCTCCACATCTTTCCAATACTTGTTTGTTGATTTGTAGTCTGCCTGATATGAATAAATCCAAAGTTACCCATTGGATTTCACTGTACCCCAAGTTACAGCACAAACATTCAACTGAAAGCCAGTTAAAGCTGTTCACAGGGTCCGTGTGTAGTCAACTTGGATCTTGGTCTAGAAAGGCCACTGGCCAACCAGGAACACAGTCTCCTGAAGAGCAGGTAGGGCAAGCATGGGAGCCTGAGTCAGGCTACTAAAGGAATTTTTACTCTTAAGGGCAGGTGGTCAGCTTGTCCGGGGGAACTTGACATCTTTTGTCCCTACCATGTACCTTCACTCAGATGTACTTTGGCTGCTGTAGGAGAGTGAGTGTGGGTGCCCACCCAGCAGAATAAGTGTTGGTGTGAGGGAAGTAGTCCCGCCCTCCCCCATCATCAGTTCACGTGCCAGGGGGAGGTGTCCCCACCTTCTATTCCAGGGATGGCATGGGACTTGCATGGGGTCAGCTGGAACATTCCATTCCCTTGGTGGTGACAATTGGCTCCATCATTCAGAAAACCCATAGAGCCATAGAACAGTAACCAGATTTCTGCTGGGACCACTGAGAATGAGGAAAATCCATCATAATGACCCTGGGACAGTGTATAAGTTTGGAGCTGGTCAGGGCCGCCGTGCGCAGAAGTGAAAGGAAAGTGAACACAGAGAAGCACAGAATAGAGGAAAGAAGCAAAGGTAGCTGATGGCATTGTTTGAGTTCCTGCATTACACAAATTCTCATTTACCCCACTGGCCAACACATTCTCTCTGGTTTAGGTCGTTTGGAGTTGGTTCTGTGTCTTAAAGCACAAATAGTCCTCCCTACACATCTTTAGTTTCTCTTGGCCCTCCCTCAGTTTCTCCCTGTAGACGTGGTTGAGTTGGGTCAGACTCTGTCTTCATGGGTCTCTGACTCAGCACAGAGACCTTTCCAACTCCTCTCTTCTGACACTTTGCCTCCAACAGCTCCATAGCTCCCCCAGTCAGGTGGTTCTGGGCTGTCTTCATCTGTCCCTAGTGGCCCACCACCATGGAAACTTGTATATTCAGCCCTAAATCTTCCAGCTCAGGCAGCTGAGACTCTGAACTCCAGAGGAACAGCAGGGAAAGTGTCACCCTGTACCAACAGGGAGACAGTGGGGCCAGTTTCTCCAGCTCCATCCAGCAGTCTAGAGCTTCAGAGCCATGCTCTCCTGGCCAGATTGGTGAGGGCCCATGGATTGCACATGGTGCCCCTGGGTGTGTCCAAGGCCAGCCAAATGGACTCCCCTGTTGCTCACAGCCTGGATCGGCTGGGCCATCTGAACTCAGCCTCAGGGAGGCTGTGGGCAACCCTTACATGTTCATTCACACTCGTGCAAATGGCCAGTGAAGAGCATCTGCTCAAATTTTCCCAGTGGTGCACAGAGACAGAGAGCCCCACTCTTCCCCACCACACTTGTCTCACCTACTGCTCTCCCTCCAGACATCAGGGAAACATGCACTCTGGGATTCTAGAACCTGGAGCAAGAAAAAGATGGTGGTCTCCCCACCATCCCTCACCCCACTCAGCATCACCTACATCAGCAACAGAGAGCTTCTTAGAGAACTGGATAGTGGTGGGACCCACACTCTCATAGCTCCAATGGGAAGGATGATCACAACCCCTTTAGAAAATGGACCATGGCATTTAGAACCCGCGTGGAGCAGGGAAACTGAAAGTAGGGCATGCTGAGCGTGTTGAGCACTCCATGAAAACCATCCTCCATGTGGTGCCAAGTCACAGGGACTCCCAGGTCCTCCAGTCTCTTCTTGTACAGCAGCGAATCATCCCGGAGAAGGTCATACTCACAGCTCACGATGCAAGCTTCTGGAAGCTGAGACACTACTTCATCTTCTGCAATCAAGGGTGTGTTCATCAAATCCAGAGCTTGTTGTGTCTCCAGGTAAGCATCCTCATTATGGGCCACAGGAGGCACTTCCTGGTAGCCTCTCTTCTTAAATCTCTCTGGGATGTTTTCTGAGCCCAACCACTTTCTGTACTTCTCCCACACTTCGACAGGCAAGTGGGCACGTTTCATAATTACACTTTTCCAAGAGGGGTGGACGTCCACATAATAACAGAAACAGCGGAAGGCAAAATTAGTGGTGAGCAGTGGAGTCTTTGCATTCTGCTGGTAGGACGGGAGTTGGAAATCCACCATTTGGACAACAGCATAGACCAGAATCTGAGCACGGATCTTCGGGAGATCTGACCAGTGTACAAGTTTTTGACACATTACTGCTGCTATTCCCCCTCCAGCACTGTCACCACAGACTACAACCCGGGCTGGGTCCACCCCATACATATCCAGGGTCCTGAGGAAGTGGACGGTGGCCACAAGGCAGTCTGTCATCAGCGTTGGAAACTTATGCTGGGGCGCCTTGCGGTATCTGAAAAGGAATCAAGGAACATGGTTTTCACCCATCACCATGGCAGAGCCCAAGACACCTGTGTGTTGCATTCTTGAGCCTCAATTTCTTCCATTAACTTCCTTCCCTTTCTGAACCCTGAGCTTTTAGACTTAAGGTCTAGGGCTTAAATGAGCTGATGGAAGTAGCATCTCTCCCTCTAGAGAGCATTCAGACATGATGTGACCACCGTGTTTGCAGTTGTCCTGGTGCCTGTGCAGGGCACCCTGGGCATGTAGTGGAAGGAGGTGCTAAGTGTGCAGACTGTGCAGGGCTGTTCTGCTCAAGGAAGACCAGCCCACCCAAAAGGGCTGTGCAGTGAAGCTCGGCAGCTGATCTGCTTAACTAAGCCCACTCCCCAGCCAGCTTGCAATTCATGCCATGCATAGAATGCCCCACTGAAACACACCCACAGGCTGCCCACCGGAAGGAGTGCCCATGCTCTGCCTCTGTGTCTCTCCCCCTTCCTTCCTCTCCTCCTTGCTGGCTGCCCTGCTCCCCCTGTCCATCTGACTCCCTGCCAGTCTGAGTTCCCACCTCCCACCCCATCACTCCAGGGCCCAGCCTTATTTCTTTGTCCTCCTCACCCTCCCCTTTACTCACCCAACTGCTACAACCACAGAGTCACTCTCTTTGGACAAACGACAGCATATTTCACGGTAACTTTCTAGAGAAGAAAAGGTTTTAAAATTGAATAAGAAGGCTTAGTGGGCTTCCTCCACCTATCATGGGCTGTCCCTGCTCTCTGCCAGCTACCACAGACAGAGCTCATGGGTCCTGACTACTGGTTCACACTGTCTGAGAAGCTATTTGGCCACACACCAGAGTGCTTCTGTGTGTGAACTCAGATTCAGACCCAAGTTTGAATCTCTACATTGCCTCCTCTTCACTTGAGCTGAACGAGTGGGGGGTACATCCCTTCTCTCCCTGAGGCTCAATTTTTCTCATCTGTGAAATGGGGATAGTGAGTATCATGGGGCGGGGCAATGAGAATGTACATAATGGGCTTCCCCTGTTCCTGCCACGTAAATACTAACATTAAAAAATACTCATTGATAAATATTGCTGCTATTGTCATTTCTTATGCACACCATACCCTAGACATGGTTTCATTAAACTCCCTATTCTCAAAGGCTACCACCATTTATCTTGGCATTCCACAGACTAGAAAGCAGTATAAAGGCATTTTCCCCTTATTTCCTGCAGCTGGGGTTGGGGAATTAAGATAACAAAATGATCTCAATTGTTAGTTTTCTTCTCTCATTAATTTTTCTCAAATCTTTGGTCCCCTTGTCTGTTTATACTAGGGTTTTCTGGAAGCAATACCTCATGTGAAATGAAATGGTGTTTTAGTTATTTTCATTTTTAAAAAATCCTTATTTCCAACTCAGTAGTCACACAGCATTGTGAAGATACTAAATGCCACTGATTAGTACATTTTCAAATGGTGAATTTTATAATCCGTGAATTTCATACATATAAATGAGTATGCCCCGCTTTTTTGAAAGTGTGTGTTAGGCTGCTTTGCTTTTACTAAACACCTACATTTGTACCTGTTTTTGGCTAACCAAAGGAAGACTGAAGAGCATTTTCACTTTCACCAAAAAGAAAAAAAAGAAGGTGAAAAGCAAAATTTGCCTTCAGCTTTTGTTTCGCAGGGAGCCTTTATAGAGGCTGTACCCACCACCTCCATTCCCATCCCCTGGGGGATGGGGGGGGAGGGTGGGAAGAAAGGCTACCAAAATCACACGCAACATCTCAGCATCCAGCCCCAGAGCTCTGATCTGGGTCTCTGACCATCTGGGCTTTATCCTGGCTAATTGGGGGCATCCAATTAGCAAGGCGTCTCCTAAGATAGTTAGCACTTTGGCTTAGGAAAGGTGTATAGAGACCCTACTTTCACACTGTGAGTGAAACCTGCATCCTGTTATGTCATAGTAGGGAAAAACCTGCGTAGACATATGCACAGATGCACATGGATATTCCATGCATGCCTCCTTACTTCCAGAAAGAGGTCAATACCTGCCATATCTTGGCCACTGAGCAATCAGAGACTTGCTAAAGGCCTTGGTGATCCCTGGTTGTAATGGCAGCCTTTAGAGGTCAAGAGGATGGCAGAAGTGCCTCCGCCCACCCTGTTGTGAGGCTGTCACACTACAGGCCAGGTCAGAGGGAAGGACTCTTACTCAGGCTCCCGATGATGGCCCCACCACCGTGGAAGAACAGGACGCCCCTCCGGAGAGTGGAGGAGGACATCCTGGGCTGGTACACCTTCACTGGGATAGTCCCAAAGCGGAGGTCCTTGACCACCACGTCTGGGTCCTGCTTGGATGGCAGTAGGTCGTATATAAATGAGACAAATTGGGGCATAGAGCAGATTCCCAGTTTCTCAAAAATGGTGCCCTGTTGGTGAGAGAAGAGGAAATGCAATGGGAAGGATTTCAGTGTGCCCCTGGTTCTTGCCACACGTGCCTTCTGCGGATGGCTGAACGCATCCCACTGGCAGAAAATCCTGGGCACCCCGGCCCCAGCACCGGCCAGGTCAAACCCCTCTCCCCAATCCACAAACCCCAGCCCCACAAACCAGGCTCCTGGTCCCTACTGAGGGACCCTGTACCTGTGATGTCCTCCATGCCCACGGGGTCCCTGTTCCAGCTGGCATGTGTGTGACATCTCTTCCTAGGGAGCCCCTCCAGGACCACCGCAGCCAAAGTGGCCCACCCAGCATTTGTTTGCTATTTTTAGATGTGATAACTTCATTGTGGTTATGTTTTTTAAAGGGGGGGCTGGAATTTAATCTTTTAGAGATACCTTCAGAAGTATGTTTGAATAAAATAATCTGATGTCTGGGACCCATTTCATAAGGCAATGGGAATGAGGGACAGGTTGGGGGCATGGATGAAACAGGACTGGCCAGGAGTCATGAGTGTCGGGGAGGGAGGACTTCTTTTACTGTTGGTGCAGGTCTCAAAATTTGCATCATTACAGTAAACACAGGGGGCGTCTCCCCAGGCACTGTCTCTGCAGCGGTGCCCAACCTATGCCAGCCCCACCTCAGCTGGTCATGAAGCCCACAGCCTGGCAGCAAGCTGGTTTGGAATACATATGTAGGGTCACAAAGGAAGGAAGTTTTATTTAAACACAGTTATCAAAATATTGATACATTACACATTGAAGTAAATGTGGGACATGACCTACATTGGCCTCCTAAGTAGCGCCCTAACTAGCGAGATCTGGTGGCTGGTCTAATACTGTCATCCTCTGGAAGGAACACCAGACACATGTGATTTTTCACAAAACCTGCCACAGCTGTAACATGCTTGGAAAACATGGGACTTCTCTTGGTGACAAAGTGGCAGCTACCGCTATCACAGCTGTGGTGTGTCACCTCATTGTTGATGGAAGGAAATGCTGTATTTCCATTAGAGGTTACCCCATCCAAACTCATAGACCCTTGCCCCGTCCCCCTTGGGAGTTTGGGGAACCCCCTTAAGAAGCCCTTCCACACTGCACTGCCCATTCTCAAATTCCTTACCCCACTTGCCCCTCGGTAGACCAGCTAGCTTGTGTGCTGCTGTTTCCCATCCCCCCATAACTACCGCCCACCCCTGCAGGAGGACTCTGGAATTTGACCTCTCGCCATGCCTGACTCTCAGAGTAGAACTGGCTGGTGGCACATAGCAGTTGTCCAACACATCTTTGTAGAAAAAACAAATCAACACATTGGACTAAGCGATGTTTATGGACAGCTTCCTCTGTGTGAGGCCCTAAAACACACACTCAACTCACTGCCTCCCCACAAATGCTAGGAAGTGGGGACTGTTATTTCCCCCCATTTTGCAGATGAGGAAACTGAGTCACTGTGCGAAACTGGAGTGTAGACTATGAACATCAAGGGCAGGAAGAGTACAGGAGTGAATCATCAGCTCCTGTAACTCTGACCCGGGTGGGAGAATCCTCCCGATCCTGGGTTCCTCTCCATCGAGGATCTCTCACGAGAACAGGCATTTGCAATCGCTTGTGGTTACATAAGAGACCGAAGAAACGTGTTTTCTCTGTGCCGTCTCTGCCAGCCCTCTGGAGCAGCACAGCAAATCCTTACTGCCAACCTTGGAGTGATCCTCACCACCACCCATCCACAGGGGTTTCATTAAATCACACCCTCCAAGAAGAACAGGTAGAATCTGACTACTGACAGAAGCAGGCTTCTGTCTCTCCAAAGCAACAAATATCTACTTTGAAGTCACATCTGTAGTTTTGCTCATAGCACCAATTTATGAATTTGCTGGCATGTCTCTCTGTGTTGGCGTCAGCCGGTAGGTAGAAACAAGGACCCAAAGATTCACAACAACTCCTTCCTGTCTTCAGGATTTCAGAGTGTGGCCAGTGCTGTGAGTAAGGGAAATCAGGAGGTGGGCCCACAGAGGGGAGCAGGCTTTTTTTTTTTTGAGAATGGAAATCATTCATTGAAGTTTGTGGCTATCAGCCCATTCAGCTTGTGAAACCCTGACAAGAGGCTGAGAATCAAAAGTTACCTAACAGGAATTATTCAGGTTTGTCAATGTACTGTCAGCCTCTACCCCCGTGATATTAGTATTCATCCAACTAGAAGCTTCTGGTATGTTCTCCCCACTCTCCCCTTAACCCTCACCAGGAGGGAACAGAGAAAACACACGACTCACCCAGGTCACAGACAGCTGGAAGAGGCAGTGCAAAACCCGCAGTCTCACAGGGTGGCTGATGGCTGCAGGGATGTCTGTAGTGAAGAAGTGGTTGCAGATGACCCACAGCCCCACCCCCATGGAGAACACTAAGGCTGCCTCGTGGAGGACCAGCAGAAGGTCCCACATGGTGCTCTTCCCACCACAGAGGAGGCCACGAAGAGGCTGGGCTCAGCACACGCCACTTAGGACACGCTACTTACTGAGCCAGCAGAACGCCGACACTTATATCACAACCAGCCTTCCCCACCTCCTCATCTGCCAAAAGAATTGGTCCAGCCCAGGTGAGTCACACACGTGGTTCTACCAGGCCCTGCCACAGACAGGAGAAAGGGGCCCCTGCAATCTGACCCAGCTGAGAACAAGAGTTCCAAGGTTCCAGCTTACATCCTGGCACTGCAACCAGAAATGACCTTGAAAAAGTCACCTGGGACATCAAAACATGATCCCTCCCCATGCCCTCTGATGCCTTATTCCTCTCTGACCACCCATGCTATTCCTGAGTCTGCAGAGGAGACCCCAGGGCATTTGCACTTACTGTGGCCTGTGAAACACTCTTCCCTCAATGGCAGCTGAGCTCAACCTCTCCCCTACTTTAGGGCTCTGCTCACCTATAACCTTCTGAGTGAGGCCATCCCGGGTAACCTTATTTAAAATTATAACTCCCCACCCTCATTCGAATGCCAGATCCCACTGTACACATACATACACCAGCTTATGTTGTCTTTATGGCTTTTACTACCATCTGAGATACACATACTTCACTTTTTTTGTTTATTGTCTGCAGAATATAACCTCCGCTGGAGACAGGAATTTTTGTTTTGTTCTTTACTTTATCCTCAGCGACTAGATCTGGGGTTTAGTACTCAGCAGGTGCTTAGCAAATGTCTATTGAAGGAGGAATGAATGAATAACACCATCGTTTTCATTATAAAGCAGGAAAAAATGAGCTCACCATCTTTACAGGTTGAGTCAGAGACTGCTGTCAGTGTTCCACATCCTCCATCATTTATGGCAAAGCCCCACATCCACAGTAGTGATGATGACATCTCTCCTACCACCCCACTCCGAGGTCACAGTGGTGGGTCTCACATGGGGGGATGTTGCCCTCCTGGAGACATCTGGCAATGTCTGGTGATATTTTTGGTTGTGATAATGGTGAGGTGTGGGAGCTGGCACTGACGTCTCACGGGTAGGAGCCAGGGTGCTGCTGAGCATCCTACAAGGCACAGACAGCCCCTACAACAGGAAGTTATGTGCTTCAACATGTCAACACAGCTCAGGGTGGAAACCCTGAGTTGATAAGACTTGGGATTCAATCCTGGCTCTGCCAAATGGCAGCATTCTGGACGTGAGCAAGTTACTTACACTCTTTTGCCCCGGCCCATGGGGCTCAGTTGGTTGGGGCATCCTCCTGGAACCTAAAGGTTGCAGGATCTGAATCCATGTCCCCTCCCCACCCTTTCACAGTGCTGGGACATTTCTCTAGCTAAAGGTAAGGAGTCTGAGTCTGCTCTTTGTCCCAAACAATAAGTTTTCCATCTTGGCCCACATTGGCTCATATGACTTTCATAAGAGGAACTTGTGTTTTACTGTGACATGTAGACATACACAACATTGACTTTTATATGTGTCCTGGTGCAGGGATTCTAGCCACGACCTCTGCACTGTCAAGGATAGGCTCCCCCCACCCCTTCCCCTCATCTTCCTCTTCCTCCTGCATCAGATCAGCCTGAGAATGCCTGCTCTCCTCTTGGTCAACACACTCTACAGCCATGACTGTGAGTGCCGCCCACACGCAGGGCACCTTCAGCTCTAAGTTGCTCTAGGGTTTCAGGTTCAAATACCCAACTGCCCTCATGACCTGCTCTTCTCTGTCCCATTTTTCTCCCCTCTCAGCATTGCACCACCATGGTTTCTGCAGAATCCCTGCAGTTCTCCATGATTCTTCTCTTCCAGGTCCTCCCTAAGCTGTTGGGTCCTGGCTAGATCCCAATCATGTCAATATTCATCTTATTAAGCATTCTCAGTCCTTCCCTTCCAAACGATTTAGGATTTGCAATCATATTTGTGTGGTTTTCCTGCTGATTGTCTGTCTCCCCAAGGACATCAGCATTCCAGCCTGGAGCCATGTCTGCTCCCCTCACCAGAGAATCCTCAGTGTCTAGCACACACTGTAGGTGCTCAACAAATAATTGTTGATGGAGGAATGAATGGTGTCATGTTGTGGAGGATACCGGTCAGCAGTATCCATCTCTGATGCAGATGCTCATCGAAATGTGGAAAAACATACACAGAGACAACCAGGTCCTGTGGGGAAATAGGGACAGAACGGCCACTCTCTCTAGGGGAGAGGGTGTGCCGTATCCATTCCCAAGCAGATTTTTATTGAGAATACAGACTTAGTTTGTGGATTCAGTCTGGCAGAAAAGATCAAAAGAAGTAGGTGACTTACAAAGGTGCAGACAGAACCCCCGCTGTAATTCTGGGCAGAGATTGGAGTTTTAACAGTTGAAAGGAGTAACAGGGCTCAAAGAGCAGTTTTGGTTTCCTGTCTATGCCTTCAGATTCTAATCTAATAACATCCTCCAGCAAACAGATCCCACAGGATCTTGCATATTCTATGTCCCAGGCCTGATTACCCCAGGGGGCCACCATTTCTGGTCTGGGCTGCACCGGCCCCTGTTATTTCCGCAGGCCTGAGTCAACAGAGGAGACAAAGGCAGCCAGGAGACTTGGATTTCTCACTTCTAAGAACAAGGACTCAGGCTTTGACAAAGCCGAGGGGGCAGGGGTTGATGTCCATCAAACCTTCATTTCCACAGCCCTGAGTCTCTTCCAAGAAGCCTCCACGTGATCATGCCTGTCTTAGGCTATTCCCTCCATGGGAAATCTTACCCATCACTGGCTAACTGATCAAGCTTAGGAGGTCAGGCACAGAACAGGCAACGTTCATGCCAGGGAAATAAGTTTTGTCTCCTTTGTGCTCCTGGTCCAGAGGTCTCTCACTCAGCCTAAGTCACGGGGGGTTACTGCCAGGCAGGGTGGTCCCCAACATCACATGACCTGGGGAAATGGTAACGTGGAAAGTGTGTCCTCTCTCTCTCTGGTGGTTTCTTGTAGAGGCTGGTGGAAGTGAGAGAGGGTGAGATTGCAAGATCCCTAAAGTCAGCACCCACAAAATATGAGTGAAGTTTCTCTCTTGGAAACCTTCTTTGACTCAAATCTCTTTAGATTCTGCAGCCTCCCTCTCCTCTGTTAACCCAGCATGCAAAGGGGCCTTGACTGCTTCATAGGGAGAGTTCCAGAACCCAAACACCGTTAGTTCCATTACTATGGATGAGGCAAAGAGGCTGTGTTTAATGAAGTGGTTTGTCCACATTGGGTAGCAGACAGAGCTGGGATTCAAAACCCATTCCATTGAGATCTGACTCCAAGGCCAAGTCCATCGGTTTCCAACAACCCACCATAAGCCACACATCATAAAGCTTGTAGCAACCACCAATGAGAATATCTCTCCCTTCAACCCACTCACATTTTAGTGACTTCCCATCACACAGATGCTGAAAATACTTGAGAAGGCCTTCCTGTGAGACAGATTGGGTAAAAATTATCACTCATTGTAAAGATATAAACTCACAAGCTTATTCTTTAAGAAATTCAATTCTCCTGAAAAAGAAAAGCAGAATGCATGAAACTCACAGTCAGTGTGGAGCATGGGTGAAAGTAAGCTGGTCCAACGAGGCACAGAGAAAACACATGGCACAGGGAGAGTTAAGCACAGACCGTGGGTAAACCCGGGGCTTAGAGACATGGGAAGAAATGGCATCAAGTGTTCCAGATACACAGTAAGCAAGACAGTAACTGCACAACATATCGAAAAGAGAGTGTATAAACAGAATGTTTGGAAGGGATAGAAAGACCAAGTGGTAAGTCACGAGAATGCAATGTCTGCATTGACAGCCACATCATCCTAAATTGGTCACCCATTGGTGACACTCAATGAGGCCCCACTCTGTCCACTCGTGTCCTTCCCAAAGAATGCAGATAAAATTCACATTTACTCTGCAAACTGAGAAAGGAGCTCATGCTGTGCCCAAGTGTGCCTGCTCTTGGGTCTCACCAATGGAGGATGTATGTTGGTTTCAGACCCCCTCCAACTGTGGGAACCCCTCTGGTCCTCTTAGCTACACCAGCAGAGGGGAAGGTAGATGTAGCAGAGAGAAGGGACCTGGGAATATTACATAATCCAGGAAAGAGCAGGTATGACTCTTCCACCCCACTGCCCCGGCACCTTACTCAGTGTGGGCTGACTTACAATATAACAGAGCTGGCCAGTGGGCCAAGTTCAGCCTGGATGAGACAAAAAATAAAGTCCTAGGTGGGAGGCATTCCCCCCAACCCATTCTCTTCCCTCCTGTCTCCTTTTGTTGGCCTGACCTTCTCAGGTTAAGAAATCAACTTCATAAATACTCCGTGTACTAACCATGTTTTGTTTGTTTATTGCTGTGTGTGTGTTCTGCTGCTTTGACATCTGCAGCCCTGCCACCCAGAAGGGACTGTCCCTCCCCGTGTTAGTCAATGTTTGTGCAGAGATAGCCAACAACGCACCTGTAAGGGCAGTTTCCAAATGCGAACAGGCTGACACCTGGAAACACCCCCTCCATGCATCTGTCCTCCCCCAGGCTACAACCCCCTGCCTTCATCACCTAGGGCCAGGTACCAAACCACTAGGGATAGCACCTATGTCCCAAGCCACTGAATTCATCCAGACCACCCAATTCTCACCCTGTGCACCCTGCCTTGTCTGTTCCTTCCATGGAGACCATTTGCCTCTGGTGTTTGCCATGCAGACTGCCAACCACACACCAGATGGAGGTCTATGGCTTCTCACCGAGTTTCCAAACCTAAATTGGTTCACAGATCCAGAGCCCCTGGACTGAAAAGGAGACCCAGCCCTCTGGAGAAAGGTGTCTGCATTTTCTCTCAAGTGCATGCTGCCCATCCTCCTCCAAGTCCTCCCTGAAGGGTTCTGCAGCCATTGCCCACAGTGACTCCCTGGACACCAGCCCTCCTCCCTGATGATAACCCTCCATGTGATCTCTATTTCTTTATCTGTTTCTGTTCTA